TCTCTCTCTCTCTCTCTCTCTCTCTGTGTGTGTGTGTGCCGCCGCCCGCCTGCTTCTGACCCTCCCGTCCATTCCGCTGACAGGTTTACTGGCTGACGATGCGCAGGGGATCCGGAATCTTTGAGCCGACGTGCGCGGCTCGCCGCTCGAACACTCCCGAAGGCCCGTCCCCAGAAGCAAACGAGGTGCATCTTCCTGGTTTCCGGCGCCAGATTCGTTACGCGAGACCCGCTGAACTGCCAGTTCGCCACTCGAACACTCACGAAGGCCTGCCCCCAGAAACGAACGCGGCGCATCTTCCCGGTTTCCGAGGCTTGATTCGTTACGCGAGACCCGCTGCCCCGCGGGTGCCCGGCACGACAAAAAGCGTCTTTCGACAAACTCTGTCCCGTGGGCCCGCCCCTTACCCTGCCGCCTTTCCCAACACTGGCCAGCGGGTCTCCGTGGGAGCGTTTCGCGAGACCCGCTGCACGCTTTAAGAGTATTAGGGATAATCTGGACACATCTGGGATCCGGATCTCCCATCTGGAAGTCTGGGTCCGGAGATGTTCCGGATCTCCGGTCATGTCTGGACGTCTGGCTACGACAGGACACATGTCGGTATTGCTGTGTGGTTGTGTTGGGTCTATAGGTCCATAGCTATCCTGATTTCTAGTCATTGACTGATGGGGAAGGGGGAAATGTGAAAGTGGGACTGTTACATTGACAGCCTGATCGTTGTACACCATCCTACCACTGTTCTGGTATGCTCAAGGACAATCTTTGTTGGTCGTCGATTTCATATCCTGACACACTGCCTACGATACCTGCAGACGATTTCCATTAGCTGACCATTACTAGTGTAGGACTTGTATGATGCCCCATTACCTGCAGACAGAATTGTATGGTTTGGGTATTATTGACATCTGCTCACAGCGATGCACTCTCATGTCTGAAGGGGTAATATGGAAGTGTGACTGTTACATTGACAGCCTGATCGTTGTCCACCATTCTACCACTGTTCTGGTATGGATAATCTATGTTGGTCGTCGATTTCATATCCTGACACACTGCCTACGATACCCGCAGACGATTTCCATTAGCTGACCATTACTAGTGGAGGACTTGCATGATGCCCCATTACCAGCAGAAAGAATTGTATGGTTTGGGTATTATTGACATCTGCTCATAGCGATGCACTCTCATGTCTGATAAGTTGATAACCACCGGAAATGAATTCATAAGTCCATAACCTCACCTATAGATCAGGTATTGTTATGTGATATGACAGTGTCGGATATTATATACCTGTCTTGCAGCATGGTTTCACGAAACCCTTGCAGGGGCCAGCGGTAATTCACTCCCTCGTATTTTTACTGTAGTCAGTAAACAGAGTTTTTTTGCACTAAAAGGAGGATCCTTTTTTTTTTTTTTTTTTTTTTTTTCATTCCTCAATTTACGCGTGTCGTCTTTGTGCAGGGGCCACGCTAATCTTCTCTTTATCGTTCAATGTTGATGGATGTCCCGAAGGACACACTAAAAGGAGCATCTATGTTTTGCTTTGCTCAGGTTTTTGCACAGAAGGATTCCGAAGAATGCTTTGGCAAATTGGACCAACCTTTCCTGTGGGTAACCCGTCTGGAAATCAGGGGCGCTGACCCTCCTTTTGTGCTGGAATTGTGCTGCTTGTGAATCGCGCAGACACCAGAGAATGACATTGGCAAGAGTTCCTTCAATTTTTCCAAGGTGAGTTTCCATTCCATCAGAAGTGACAGTCATTTGGGCGGATTATGCCCCCTAAACCTTTGATTCTCTTTTCAACTGAATTGATTTAATTCTCATGGAATAGCAGCACGCTATGCGTAGAACAAGAACAGGTTTAGCTAATAATAAAAAAACAAATTCTTGAGAAACAATAACAAGTGAATAAAGTGAAAACAAAACAAATAAAAATCCACAAACCATGACTTTGAGCTTCCTCGATAATCATTTTCAATACTGAAAATCTGTTCCCAATGTGGCTTACTGTCCACGTATACGCCCGCCGGGTCATTCATCTTTTTTTTTCCGACAAAAAAAACAGGTACCTACCAGGTGCATTCGATCAATAATTTGAATGGTAAATGTCTTGAAACCATACTTGCGGTGCATCACGTGTGCATAAGTTGAGCATGTGCGACGCACAGCGCATGCGCACGTGATGTGGCGCATTTGCGCACTCATTAAAAGGGAAAAAAAAATCAGAAAGGGTAGGCCGTGGTACCCGTAAGTGTCCCTGCCTTTTAAAAATTGTAAATGCACAGAAAAAGAATATTTTGGGGCCACATTGTACTACTCATTGGATTTAGTATTTTTTCCAAAGGGTCCCCTGCAAAGAATTAGCGGGGATCCCATTCGTTTGGAAGAACGTGAGTTGAACTGCTCGAGAACACGAGCAGGCCAGCAATATATCCTGAATTCGGATTCAGGTCTGTGTTCCAAGAGTTATGGGTTACGGACTTACTACAAACGCTACAGTAGCTGTCTCGTTTTTTTGTTTTTCCTTTTCTTATGTGCAGTTAGGGCCTTGCTCCACTCATCAGCACTTGCACAAAAGAAAAACGTATGGCTTGTATGGTTCCAGCTTCTAGGAGAAGATTCGTTCTAGTTTTGCACATACAGTACCTGTCTCGTTTTTTTGTTTTTCCTTTTCTTACTTGCGTGCAGTGGCCCTAAGGGCCTGGCTCCACTCATCAGCACTTGCAGAAAAGAAAAACGTATGGCTTGTACGGTTCCAGTTTCTAGGAGTCATTCATTCTAGTTTTGCACATACAGTGAGTAGTGGAGTGAATCCCTGAAAATCACATGCTGAGTTAGTAAGTCAGTAACCCATAACTGCTGAAACACGGACCTGAATTCGAAGCTACACCATATATAGCTGGCCTGCTTCCTCCGTACTGCAAGTCCAGTGACAACCCGTCCATTGACCACCCGTCTCCTGCCGATGGGACCCTTGCCAACTTTTGGCAGGGACCTTTTGAAATACCAGCAGGGGTTGTTTGAATAATGTGCCGTCTCCTGCCGATGGGACCCTTGCCAACTTTTGGCAGGGACCTTTTGAATAATGTGAAAGGGCTCTCTCTCTCTCTCTCTCTCTCTCTCTCTCTCTCTCTCTCTCTCTCTCTCTCTCTCTCCCCAGTGTGTATACACCACGGTTGCTTTTTTTTTTTTTGGTGTGCGGGCTCATCTGCGATTAGTGCACCGTCACCGCGCAGCACACTTCATCTACGCGCCGCAAGTAAGGAATTCTGAGGTGACCTGTAATATGAATGTCTGCTGTGGAAACCTAGGAAGAAAATTTGTGCAAGTGGTACCTGTACACGTACGCGCCTGGATGTGTGGTTGAGCATCACCCGTGGTCAGAGTTCTGGACAGCCCTGCGACAAAACAAAAAAGAAAACCGAAATGTTTGAATAATGTGCCGTCTCCTGCCGATGGTACCCTTGCCAACTTTTGGCAGGGACCTTTTGAATAATGTGAAAGGGCTCTCTCTCTCTCTCTCTCTCTCTCTCTCTCTCTCTCTCTTCCCCTCCCCAGCGTGTATACACATAAAATCAAACTCGTCTTCCTGTCACTTTGTCATGCCTGCAAACAGCGGTACAGCAACTGGCGACATGCGCCCACACAGTACTCAAGATGTCGTAACCAGATATGAGTTCTCTTCAACTGGCTATGGSGACTGGGCGCCCACACAACTCACTGTTYGCACTCTGGATCACCCTGGATGTCCCACACGCAACACTCAGTATCATACACAACACACACACATACTATGCTACAGCTATGGCAGCGCTAGCTGCCTCTACCCTATCTCTACACTACACTTCTCTGCCCACTTCGTCTTCGGGCACACTGCAGATCGCCTCGCACAAGCTGCTAAGGCAGCGCTTCCGCCTGGCATCCGCAGGAATGAATCCATGAATGGACGCAGCCTCTTGATTTATACTTCTGTGCTGCATTGGTCTGCCTTGTGTCCCTGGCCCATGGTGCACACAGTTCCCCCCGTGGTACGTGCTGGACCGGACTGGTACTTTCTAGACTCTCTCCAACATGGCTTGCTTTAGTCACACCACTTGCCCACTTGCCTGCACCACTTGACCACTTGCCTGCACCACTTGACCACTTGCCTGCACCACTTGACCACTTGCCAACCTTCTAGAAGGACTGCAGCTAGTTTTCTCTACGGATCGAATCCTGGCTACCTATAGACCTACGACAGACCGACCTACCACTGGCGGTTCTACAGGTCGCAGGTTCAACTCTTCGAGTTGAC